AGAGAGAGAGAGAGAGAGAGAGAGAGAGAGAGAGAGAGAGAGAGAGAGAGAGAGAGAGAGAGAGAGATACAATCCAAAACATCTAGAAGTTATCGTTCAAGTAACAAGCACTTGTGATTGCAATTCTCTGAGGACAAACATATGCAGTAATATCTAAACCTCCTTTTAAAATGGTAAATTCTGCTATAGTATTTAAGGGCAGTTGCAGTGGGAAAAAGCTTTTCCTCTATGCTTCTTAGTGTGAGCAAAATATCGTCAGTATTCTATCTAGGAGCTGATGGATTATGAGAATTTTCTACTCTTTCTTCACAACTGGAAATTGCTTTTTTCTGTTTTAAAAAAGAGTGACTAGAATAATACCATATAAATTTGTACTGTGTAACACGGGAGTCCCCAAACCCCCGGGCGGTCACCCAATACTAGGCTGTGGCCTGTTCAGAACTGGCCCATGGAAATGGCAGGCAAGTGTGCATGCAAGCGCAGTTCCACTTGTGCAGCATGCATGCCCATTACACATGTAAACCACCCCCCTTCTCCTCTCCCCCCACTGGTCCACAAAGCCGGAAAGGTTGGAGACCACTGGTGTAACACATAGTTTGGAACTAAGTAATACAGTCCCAAACAGAATTACACAAGAAAAGAAATAAGATTCATTTCCCAAGTATTATGATTAGATTTATTCATTCATTAGATTTATATCCTGCCTTTCAGCACCCAAAAATGTGTGTATTATGCTGCCACCTCTTATTATTTCATAACAACTATCTGTGAAGTAGATTGGGCTGAGAGTAAGTGGCTGGCCCCAAATCATACTGTAAGTAGTCCATTTGTCATTTCTGTCTTAAAGACATATTCCAAACACCATGGATATTTACTTGCTCTTTTTTTTAAACAAAATGCAACACCTGTTATCTTCTGGGCACTAACAGAAACTGAATTGTTCTATGACATCTGTTGTTCTGTGATTATCTTCAGCACAGGTGGCCCTCCCATGTGTTAGCTCTTTTTATTTTTACTGAAAAAAAATCACATATAAAGGTGTAGACTCCAGAAAGTTTTCTAATGAGTAACCTAGAAGTCATGCAATTATAATGCAAAATATGACTGAGCCTTTTATCATTTGATTTGCAGTCTGTACTAAATAATAAATGAAATTTGCTTGATTTTGGTTTAACCTGATCAATCTTGTGACCAGTAAATTATGGCTTATGGCTATTGTTTGTAATTCTAGACAACCATGGTTTATTCAATGAGCCATAAGTAACCAAATCATGTATAAATCCATCCATTGTCTTTCAGCTTACCTTGTGAAGTATTATTAGAATAGAATAGAATTCTTTATTGGCCAAGTGTAATTGGACACAAAGAATTTGATGTAATAACAATACAGAATTTTAATTCTTAAAATTCAACAGTTAAATATTCTCTTACTTGATAGCATTACTAGGGCAAAATCAGCGTAGTAAAAGCTTTGCTCTAGATCATCTTGAAATTCCAAATTTTACAGAGATACAGTGCAATGTTCGTAGCTTTTTAATCATACTATATTTTAGTCTTTTTTCTAGCACTTTTTATTTTTTCGTGCTATTGTTTTTAAAGTTTAATTTGTATGAATTTTTACTATTGTAATCAAAATCCTTAATAAAAATTATAGACTTAAAACAGTAGAAATTATTAAAATCCAGTCTTTGCCTCATGCCAATTTGGTAGTAAGGTAGACACCTTATAGAACCTGCTTCAAGAGAGTATTACATGTACCAGGTACTCCTACCAAGAAGTCTTTATTTATTTCACTGAACTGTGTTTATCTCCCCATATCTGGAACTTCTGCTTTTCTGTGCAGCTTTTAATCTTTCCTTTGAAATCAGAGAATTCTAGAGAGATTGTATAGTGGGAAGTAGAGGGTTACTGGTGATAATCTTGCTGAAGAGGTACACAGAGCCCCATCTTTCTCATAATTATAAATTAATAGATTGCAACACTAAATAATACAAAAGTGATTGGCCAGCAATTTTGCAATGTAAAGAAATCGAGTACAAAGAAGTCTGGGATGTCAACCAACCCTGGTCTATATTACCGTCCACATATTATAAACCTCTGGAAAAAAATTACTTTGTGGTTCCCGTTCTTCAGGAATGTGCTTCCAAGAGATATATACTCTTGAATCAGTTTTAATTTGGAAAAATTACAAGAGGCCTCAAGATATAATAAGTCAGTGATGGCAAACCTTTTCGGCACCAAGTGCCCAAACTGGAACACGCGTGCATGTGTGTGCATGTGCACAAGCTGGAGCCCTGGAAACTCAAAGACCAGCTGGCTAGTGTGTGCATGCCTGGTTTTTGGTAAATTTTGTGCCATTTTCAGGATGGTTTGGGGACATTTTCAGTGTGTTTTCTGGCCGTTTTTCTGGTGGTTTTTCAGACAGTTTTCCGGCACTCCAACACCCACAAAGACCACCTGGCTGGATGGAATCCAGAAAAGCAGCTGGCGATGGTGCACATGCCCACAGAGAGGGCTCTGCATGCCACTTCTGACACGCATGCCAGAAGTTCGCCATCATGGTACTAAGTGGTCAGCAATCAAAACTAATGGAGTACACTCGAAGTTAAGAACCACTTCTTGAACATTACAGTGCATGCTTAACATATGGATACTTCCAACATCAGAGAACCATCAAAGAGTTCTGCAAAATATTTACCAGCTGTCAACTCCTTAGTTGCACATGGTTGCCTGGAAACTAACCCTCTTGGCCCCATCTTTCTGACAGGCACTTTATTTACTTCCAGATACACATGACATGCTGATATCTAGATACATCTTTTTGCTTTATTTGATATTCTCAGCAGAGAAATGCTTGGGCAAATTTATAGTTTGAAGACTGCACGGGTAATAAAAACATTATTCAGTGAAGCATAAGAGTTCTGCCACAGTCCCAAATTTTCAGATATCAAAGGCATATTTTTAAGATGATTTTTTGGGGCTTTAAAAGGCTTTTTTTCCCCTCTCTCTTTTGGCTTAGCTGAATTGTGCAGAGGTCAATGATGAGATTGGCTTCGACACAGCTAGAATGCTGTGTTAGAATTTACAATGGCTATTTCCATTTTGTTATTTTCCAATTTCATAGCATTGTGCTTTCAATCAATCAGCATCTAAATCCTTTGCTGGTTCAAAGAAACAGACATACGAAAAGCAAAAGCGTCTGAGGACAGGTGCCAACTTGTTCTCTAAATGTATGGATCTGAGCAATTTTGGGAGCTCATTTTAAAATGAGTCTATTAAAAAAATTATAACAGACAATTCTACTCTTTAAAGTCTATGTTAAATATATTTTAATATCTTAATTATAGATATTTTAATATCTTTTAATAGTTCAGGAGCCAACAATACCTGCATGCACATTTCAAATACAAGAATACACTAAGGCAGAAGCTTGTCCACCCCAAGAATAAAACACCCAGATACAAACTGAGCAACGTGGCATATGCATTACAATGCAGTGGGCCATGTCAGAGCTTTACACTGGGAAACAAAACAACCACATCATAAATTCATGGCACAACATAGGAGAACAAACCCATCAGGAGGGGGAGGGATGTGATATCACATATCTCCAATCTACAACACAGTCCTTTCACCAGTTCCAAGAAACCTCCACACCCATTTGCACTACTTAGGTGATCCTGATGACACAGATAAACCTCCAAGTGGCCTCAATGACTCTCTAAAAGAATTCAAATGACTAGCTGTTTGCAAGGAATATAAATCTTTCAATTCCCCATCCAAGCTTCTTGGATGAGAAGTGAAGTGTCTTCAAAGAAAACCAAGAAAGTCCATTTGCCACTTGAAAAAAGCACCTTTGGGACGTCCATGTCAAAAAGAGAGTGAAATCCCATTCTTTTCCGCTTTATAAGTTGCAGCTGTGTAAAAAGAATGCAATGTAACCAACTTGAGTATTTTCTGGTTCATCTAATGCAGTAACTGATTTGTAACTGACAAAATGAATCAAAACTCAACAATTCATTATGCTAAGGAAAAAAAACACCACCACCAACATCACTGAAAACTTTGTCCACCACCATGTTGCCGTGCTGACAGCAATATAATAATGTTGCTCCTATAAAAGATCATCTCTCTCTCTCTCTCATGATGTTCTTCTCAAAATGTGAAATTTAAGCTGATAAGAAGAGTTTAAAAAGGTAAAGGTTCCCCTCACGCATATGTGGTAGTCGTTCCCGACTCTAGGGGGTGGTGCTCATCTCCCTTTCAAAGCTGAAGAGCCAGCGCTGTCCGGAGACATCGCCATGGTCAGGTGGCGAGCATGACTATATGCCAAAAGTGCACGGACACTGTTACTTTCCCACCAAAGATGGTTCCTATTTTTCTACTTGCATTTTACATGCTTTTGAACTGCTAGGTTGGCAGAAGCTGGGATAAGTAACGGGACCTCACACTGTTACACTGCACTAGGGATTCTAACCATCAAACTGCCAACCTTTCTGATCGACAAGCTCAGTGTCTTAGCCACTGAACCACCATGTCCCTAAAACATAAGAATAGAGGAGAATACTATTATAGGTTCCCCCCCCCTTCGAGTTGTAAGCCGCCCTGAGTCCCCCCAGGGAAAAGGGCGGCATATAAATAAACTCTCATAACTCATAACTCTCATAGGTTCTTTCCTGAATGAAGAGGGATTTGTCTGGAGTTTTTTTAAAATCCAAAAACAAACAATTTCTGTAATATCTACAGGCTACTTACGACAAAATGCCCATCCCATCCTTATGCTGTGGAAAAACTCAGCTAGGATGAAAAAGGAAATATTCTTAACCCTGTTTTGAAAATAAACTCTTCCTTAAATTTCTTTCAATATGCAAAAATAAGAATCCACACTTTTATCCCCTGAATGGAGGATGAATTGAAAAAGAAGACTTAGTTGATTATCAGAAAAGAAGTTTAAAATTTCAGAGTCCCGCATTTTCATTTAGGCCATCGACTGCTCAGCTTTTGCATAGCCATTTGTAAATCAAAATGAAATAACTCCTGGTTAATGAGGTGTAATCTACCAGTACATTTCCAAAATGAAGGGAAGGTCGAAGATAGGTAACCAAAAAACAGTAAGTCCAATGATGACAAAATAATGTCCTATTAATCTAGTTCTTTCTTTCATGAACCTAGGGCATGAAGATATGTGGACTTTGACTGCCGGAATTCAATTCTAGGAATTGAAATCCATATATCTTACAATTCCCAAGAACAGGAAACACCGAACTATGACACATCTAAAATAATCTTACATTCTCATTCTCTTATTGGTGCAATGTTTGGGGACAAAATGATAGTCTAAGCCAGTGTTTCTCAACCTTGGCAACTTGAAGATGTCTGGACTTCAACTTCCAGAATTCCCCAGCCAGCGAATGCTGGCTGGGGAATTCTGGGAGTTTAAGTCCAGACATCTTCAAGTTGCCAAGGTTGAGAAACACTGGTCTAAGCTTTAGTTGCATGTTTCAGCTCAACATAAATTCTTTCTTGTTTCTTGAATAACCTACCACTGCTTTCAGCATACTGTCTTTTCTCCCAGGTAAGGCTACAAGAAGAATTTATTTCACCTTTGTGCTAACTGATTAATACTTTGGAGAATCATGGTTACACTTCAGCTTTTTGGCTATATTCAGCTAGAATCAGCTGATATCCTTCTTCTGTGGAAGAATCTGTGGGGCAAGAGGAATCTGTGGTGTCCTTGGGTACTCTCTGAGTTTAGTAGTTTGTTTTCTTGCAGACATTTCATTATCAAACACCATCAGTGCTAGGAGGGAGTGGGATTTGCTCTTATTTTTCTATACTAATGAGAAATGTACAGTGTGCAGTGAGTTCCATGTTTTCTCTCGACTAAATAAAAAAAATAGAGGGTTTTGCATTCATTCAAAACCCATTTGACTAAAACGAGAATGGAACAAAAATAGATGTGGGTTCACTTGGTGAAAAACGATTCATTTCAAACTATCCTGCTAGCTGTCCTTTCAGATTGTCTTCTAGCTGTGTGTTTGATCTTCAAAAGGCTAAGTGAGAAATAGAGCCGGTTTGTACTTGGAGAGGAAATCACCTTCAAATCTTAAGGAGACCCATATGCAAGGTTTTACTGATTATTTTTTGACTCAGTGTGAACTTTTATTTTGAAAATTCACCATCGGATAAACATTGAATTTGTTTCTTCCTCTGAATACTGAAACATGTATGACTTTCTTGCTAGAATACAACAGAAAACAGCAAAAAAAGAAAAAGAAAAAAAAAGAAAGCACTGAAAAGCGTAAGACATGCTCGGAATACAAAAAGAGATGGGATAACAAGACGGATTTTAAAATGTGTCAGAAGTTCTTTGAACACACATTTGTTATACTGGATTTCAGAAAAGCTGTCTTTTTATGGCATTCAGAAAGGAACAGAAACTCTCATAATAAACTCTGCCCCTGCTTATCAATTCCCCCACTTATGAGATAACCAAGACATTTATAAATGCAAATAAAAAGATTTTTTTTTCACCATTACCTGATCTTCAAAGTTAAATTCATGATCAGGAATCTCTCCTGGGTCCACAATGAGATTAAGGTCAACTTCACATGGACCTAAATATAAAAAAGGGAATTTATCAAATAAAATAAGCAGGTTTCATGATGATACAATCTCATAATTAATGGGAAATGTTAAAATTGATATTTTTACTCTCAAACAAGAGAAGACTCAATTTTAAAGTAAGCAATGGCTTTGTTGTCATTCCTAATGGCAATTTCCTGACATAATTATGTAATCTATTTCTAAAATCTGAAATAAAAATAATTCTCATTGAACTCATAGAATTAACTCTGAATAAAGACATATGTTATTCAAGATCTAGCTATATAGAGAAAGCATTAAAGCTGAAAAAGATGAAGGGAAAGAAAAGGAAATGACCAGCAACAAGGGGAATGGAATCAGGCAATGAGTACATAACTGGAAGACTTGAAGGACCAAATAAGGGACAGATCATGATGAAGAAAGCCCATTTATGTGTCACTAAGAGTTAATACTAACTTGAAGGCACATAATTCCTGCATCAAACACAATCAGAATTGTGCTCTTAATACTGGAATATTACACATGTAAGTAAATCTCACTGAGTAAGATGCAAGTGCCTTTTTAAATATATCATCTTTCCCTTCACGTGTAAAAAACAAAAACCAAGTAATGCAAATAAATCTCACTAAAATGATATTGGAAAGAATCAAAACAGCAATCATGCCAAACTACTGTATAATAAACATAATGTAATTTTTCATTTTCAAATGTTCACTGTTTTAACATGGTGATAACAAAATGGAATGGTTCTTTCAAGTATTATTATACTGCTTTGAGGTCTTCAGATTTAAGATGAGAAATTGCAACAGCCATGAGCTGCAGGAGTCTATGTTATGGGTTAAAAAATGGGAGTAAATTTTTTAGAAGTACCAGAAAAAAAATCTCCATTTTTGCATATTTTTTTCAAACTAGAAAACTTTGAATTTGCATTTTTTCCATTTTGCCAAGGGCCTGAACATTTCAGTGACTCATCTTTTGAATAGAGAAAAATAGTGTGTGGGGATAAAATAAATATACGGGTATTAGAATTCATAGGGAACAAATTGCTACCTCCGAGTCCTAGAAATTTGTTGGATGTTGTAGTTACATGATGGGAAATTTAATTACTTTTCAACATAGCTCTTTTCTAAGTATAATCTTTATTGTCATTATACAATATAAATACAATGAAATTGGTTGGTTCTATGGGCTTAGATATTTTTTAATGCTTCATTTCTTAACATAGTTGATATTAAAGCAGAGATAAAGAACGGAATTTGAATTAGAGAGTGAATTCTGTTCTCCGCTTACCCTGAGAACTGGGTAATATCAATACTAGTATATTAATACTAGATGTTCAATACATCTAGTATTCTGATCAATCAATCAATCATTCATTCAATGTATGTGCTGCCCCATCCAAAGCAGCTTTGAATTGTCATATACAGGAACAAAACACTGAATGATGGCACTGAGATGTCCATCTAATGCTTGCTACAGATAAATAGCAAATGTTAGTTCACAATTAGGGAAGGGAAGTTTGAAGCACAGAGAAATTTTGTTGGGGACTCTGGCAGACATGCAAACAGGATCAGCTTCTATCAGCATCACCCGTGGTCTGCCTTTTTCCTTGTAAATGAAGAGAAAGAGAAGAACTGATCCACCCAGTGTTGCTACAGAAGGTCCACAAGAGGACCTCTGGCCAATTTCCAGTTTCTTGGAAGAAGAAGGAACACAGGCAGAAGTGGAGAGGAGGTGGTGCTTCATTTGATGCTCAGCAGATGAGATAGGTCAATTTAGCATGCCAGATGAAGTTCCTGGACTAACAATTTTCCATTTCTGTATTAAAGGTTATTATAAACTATACTTGACAATTTGTAATACTGACAAAAGATCCTACAGAAATTTCAACATACGACTAGGAATTCAGTGCACAGTTAGTGTTGGAAAAGAATATTAAAAAGATCTAACCCATAAAAATATCTAGATTATTCTTTAGCCCATGTCTTAATTGTTCCACTAGAGAAAGAGAACAAAAGGATATTTAATTTCAAGTACTGGAATTTAAATTTTAATTCCAAATCATGACTTTGTGCCTTCTAATAGCCAAATGCTTTCAGCATACTTCACTCTGGTGGATATCCCAGTGGATATATTGTTGAAAGCTACCAGACAAATATTTCTGAATTTGAATAATCAGGAAAATCTGTAACTTTAGTATGTATGTTGCATGTGATTCCTCTCCCCGGCTACATATTCATTGTGTATTGGCAAAAATTTCTTTTAGGACTAGGTTTCTCCCTCATATTGTATCTCAAATAAAGCTATGTTCAATGGATTAAGGCTCACTGGTGCCCTAAGTACTGACAAATCTGTACAAATCTTCATTGGGTTTTTTTCTTTCTCAACTTTGTGGTGCCCCCTTTGAGCCTGATGCCTTAAGCATATACTTAGTCTGCTTAATGGTTAATACACCACTGGCTACGTTTCTCATTTATACTAAACTAAGAATGTGTTCATTTGGAAAAGTTGCTTTTTCATAAATGTACATAGGATTGCAATATTCATTTCATAACCAGACCTGTACATGATTCTACCTATGTTAAAAAGGGAGGAATCATTTTTCAAGTCCTCCTACTTTTGACTCAGGTTTTCTTGATTGTTTGTTAAATTTATATGCCATCCATCTCACTGTCAAATGACTTTGGATGGCTATTGCCACAATCTGGACATCTCAAAAAGCTGGCCATTTAATTTTCTATAAAAGTTAAAATAATTATATCCTACTGAAGTCATTTCAGGCTTGATACATGTCATAGTTTTTAATCCCTGATGATTGATCTCCAAAATGTTCATGTGAAAGAAAGTTTAGAAAACTTTAGTAGTGGAACACTTTGTTGTTTTACCCTTGCCATTGACCTCAGTAGGGTACTGATTGTGTTGCTTAAGGCACAAAGGTCTTTCCAATAATTTTGCTCTACAGAAATAGTCTGTACTAGCCAATGCATTCATAACTCAAGGGCTAAGGGGAGAAATCTCAGCCATTTTCAATGGTGAGCACTGCTTTCCATGTTGGGGATCTTTCTCAGACTGATTACTTTCCTTTCAAGCAGCTGCATTTACAAAAATTGTTAGTTCCTTAAAAAAAGAGCAGGCATGGAAACAGACCACTTGAAAAATAACCCGTCTAAGGTTATGGTAAATCATTTGAATCATTTATTTCCTTCCTGCTGCTTACATCCTTCTGTTGTTCTCCTATTCGACAAACCATCACCAGCAGTAAGCTTCTTCTAATCTACTGCTATGTGTCATTCTTGTGGTTGCAGCATGCTTGGAGTTGGTTCTCTATGCTGCCGAATGTTTGCAATCCAAGAATAGGCCAATATAAATAGATATTTGTTTCAGAATTTCTGCATGAATAAAGGACTCCTTGAGACCATGACAGAGAAAGAGGTAGAGCTTCCATTCAGCCTTTCTTGATCAAAAGTTTATAACTCCTTTTCTTTATGAGTTTAGTCTAGACAGTCTCAGTGGAACATCTGGGCAGCAATTTGTCTATAGGTATCTCTTTTACTCTTTTACTATTCTCCATCCAAATCCTCCATTAACATTAAATCCTCATATCCTATTCTAGCTAAACATCCATAATATTTAATACCAAAATTTTTCTAATCTTCCTTCCCAAATCCCTGTTTACCATTTACATCCAATTCCCTTATATTATACCCATACATATATATAAATTATTATCATTATCCTTTATTTAACTATATCCTATATCATAACATTTTCTCCCTAATAATTAAAACTTAATTGTGTCTAATTTTGTTCTTTTTTTATTGTTATTATTATTAATAACCTTTATATATAGTCCAAAAG